GTTTCGAAGTTTAGGGCTATACTAATGTCAAAGGCAGCGGTGCGTCACTATGCCTCCCCGTAAGACCCGTAAGCGCGACAGAGAGCGCAACAGGCGTCCCGCTTCCACGTTTTCTTACCTCGTGTACAGCGGGCCTAGCTGGCACGTGATTCAAAATACGGAGTAACATGTCAACCGTTTTTTTGCCATGCAATGTTTGTTTTTAAAACATTTTTTTTAATAAAATTGACGACCTTAATGTAATCTTTGGAGTGGGGGCCGCATTGTGGTATTAGACCGAACGGTTTGAGTTTATTACTAATTTCTGTAAATCTATCTACTATTTTGTGTGGTCGTCATTGTTTTCTATTTCATGCTATATGTTAATTACCGATCCATCTTAGTGTTTCAGCCGATATGTACCCGTATTATACCAGCTGTTTCGTGTCACGAGTTGTGTTTATGGATTTGTACTAAATTACTCGTAAGACAAAGTAAATCTTAAATCGCTCGTATCCGAATTGACCAGTAAGCATTTTTCTTTCAGCCTTTAATTTGACGATACCTTCCTAATAATTCTGTCCCATTAGCGACCACCTCATACATACCTTACTTGCGGTATATGCAGTATCATAATAGTTTATGTGAAACTATATTGCGCAAGTATACACGACTTGTAATTTTGAAATCTTTCAGTATTTTTTTTCAGCCCTCGTAAAATGCATTTTTACTTTTCCCTTTCTCGTATCCGTTTTCCCGTATTCGTTAACGATTTGGAATTTTCTTAAGTCGTTACTTTGTTGTCCTATTGCCCCCGAATGTATTGCTTATGCAATTAAATAATTATGCAAAATCGAACTCCGATATGACCGCAACAACTTCGGTTACGTAAATACAAAAAAAAAACTTGTATTAAAACGTAAAAGACTACCTTTTGTCATAATTAAAAGCAGTGAAAACAGCTTTGACCATAGCATTTGACTTTAAAGCGCGGCACTTTGTAACTAATGACTTTAATTATTTTTATTATCTCGGTCGCCCATTAAAAGGTATTAATACCGTCGAAATTCGCAGAAGGTTTCTGGCTTTCTCTGTAATATCGATAAGTTGTTATAACCGCGCCATAAAGGCTTTGTTAATTACTCCGGTAGCTTTAATTTCATCAGTACGGTATTAAGGCACTTCATAAACTCTGGCTGGTCGGAAATTTATTTTTTATCTGTGGTAAAACATGAAACGTTACATAACTGGTGCTGTACGTTCAGCTAGCTTCGTTCAGCTAACGAATCGTACAGTACATACCGCAGTCTCTATAATACAGCAGCAAGGAAATATATTTATACTTTTTACGTTTCTCTTTGTGTTCCTTCTCTGGATCAGGTTTATTCTCTATTGGTGAACAAAATTTTTTTAAATGAATCTCCTTTAGGCACTTTAGGAACTTTAAGATGGGGACGAAGCATTGCGTATTCAATATGTATCATTCTATTTCATATTAAACGGTAAAACATTAATTGCTATAAGAATTATTTGTAATAAAAATACTCGCTAAAATAAATTTTCTTAACAACCCAAAAATAATGTTTACAAGTTTGTAAGGCTACATTTTCACTGTTGTGTTCAAACTAAGTAGTTTTCACTGTGGGCAACACAGATAATTATTTTTAAATAGTTGTCAGGTGTGGGAATCTAACCCACGATCTCCGGCGCCACAAGCAACTTTGGCAACTACGCCACGGAGTCATCAAAGGTAACGTTAGTCAAGATCGATTGATACGGTCATAAAAATCTGTTTATCTTCGATTTTCATCACATATAATTCAATAAAGTCTCCCTATAATTCGTCTAAGAGTTTTATTTTGCTTGCATAAATAAAAATTGATTGTTTAACAGATTCACTCGTTTGTTAAGTCTTACCGTAAATAACTATATGTCGATAAAGCGTGGGAAACTGCGGGCTGCCTCGTCGCAACTGAGAATACGACGTCTGCGACGAATTCGAGATTTAGAGATTTGCGAAGTTATAGAACAATTTCCGCCATCTGTATGCAACGGTTGTTATACTGCGAGGTTGTTTCTTAGCTTTCGTAAGTGTTCTGGGTGAATTTAAAGACTTCAATCCATGGTGCTCATAAATTATTTTTAGAAGAAATGAATATAAATGTATGGGTTATCATAATTATGTCCGTTGTGTGACCATGGTTTCTGTGAAGGGTCCAAAATGTGGGTTTTCGACCTTATACTTCGTTTGACGCGTTTGGAAAAAGTTATGAGATTTAGAATTTTTTTTAAATTGTCGCCAATTGTGAGCCAGAGGCTTCAGGAAGCCCGTGGCTCACACTTGATGACTCAGAAGTCATCGCACGAATTGTAAAGTTATAAACACGTGTAGTACGATTTGTTCAGTAAGCTTTTGTTGTTCTGCCACAGTTTGTAAATTTTGTTTGTTTGCCAAGTTGAGTCTTTTAATAAGTCATTACGACTGGATTTCAAAAATTTAATGTATTGCTCGTTAATTATATGTTATTATATTGCCGTGATAGCTCAGTGTCCGGGCGCTCGCCTTTAATTCAATGTACTCGAGCAATCTGAGTTCGATCCCCGGCGCCGGCAACAATGAAGTTTTTAACTTTAAGTGCTGACTTGTCACTCACGGTGTAGGACAACATCGTGAGGAAACCTGCATATTTTCGAAATATTAACAAAGAAATATGTGAAGTCCGCAGTGGGGCCGTGTACTGGACTATGCCCTGATACTCTCTGTATAGCCTAACCGACGTTACCTTTAGGAGGCCTTTGCCCAGCAGTGGGACATGTATAGGCTGTTACTTTACTTCATTTTTATTTTATATGTTACTCTTTAGAATTGAGCTTATAATAACGGTTAATTAAACTTAAGTAATACAACTTTATCCCTGGCTACTCTACAAAACATAATGTTACGAACTAAATCTCCGTTAGTATTACGTTGAATACATTTAACGTCGTGCTTAGAACACGGATCGGAATGTGACGTAATTATGAACGCGCTGTTTGGACTCAGCCTAGAAGGGAAATAATATGATGTAAGGGCGAATGCACCATAAGTATAAAGCAGTGGCGATAAAAGAGAATGTAGCCGTGCCTTTTTTCACTTGAAGCAGAAACCGCTCAACGGATCTTTAATTATTTATTTCTATTTCAGAGAGAGGCTACTAAGTAAACGGTCTATCTGATAGTATAAACCTTTGTCTGTTTATATTCACAGCCGGTATACATGGATATATTTTATAACAACGTTGTCTAGTCCCAATTGAAGCAAAGCTTGTACTACTCAATCATAGAGGCACGCAACAGTGTTCACTAGTGCAAGAATGGCTAAGTACCACGACCTCACAGAAGACCGGCGTAAAGTGGAAATACAATACTTTCGCGTTTCGTCTGGTGAGTGAGGTAGCCGGAGCCCACTTTATTTAAAGGTGGCAACGCATTTGAAACGGGTGTTGCAAATGTCCATGGGCGGCGGTTATCACTTAACATCAGGTGAATCTCTAGCTCGATTGCCAATTTTTCACATAAATTTCATAGATATGTAAACACCTAGAAAAATTATGATCATCACATAATATTTTCCAGTAGCAGGCGTCGAACCCGCGTCCTCTAGCGCATGCAAGTTCACTATCCCAATAGGGTCGGTGTTAAGTGGGCAGCCGATACAGGTCAATGACCTTCAAAAGTGTGACTCGCTTCTTTACTCAAATTTCCTATCAATCTTGGCTATAACAAGATTAGATAATATAGATTTCAACGTTGAATTATGGAGAAATTATTATAATATTTTATTATTTTACACTTTCCTCACGATGTTTTCCTTCACCACTGAGCACGTGATAATTCAGCACTTAAAATTAACAATTTCATTGGTGCTGGCACCGGGGATCGTACTCAGGTTGCTCGAGTGTATAAAATTAAAGGCGAGCGCCCGGACACTGAGCTATCGTGTCCGGGCGCTCTACTATAGCAGATTGAAAAAAACTGAGGAATGCAGTTCAGGAATGTACAAGAATCTACTAACCAACGTTACCTTTAGGTGCCTTTGATGGCGCTTATCACTTAAAGCCAGGTCAACTTTCTGAACACTAGCCACTTTCCCATGTGAAAAAGCACAAGTTGGTAATTAAATAAAAATATGTGCCCGCGCCTTTATACTCTGACGAGCTAAAAGCAAGGAGCCACGATAAGATCTCCACGAGTTCAGAGCTCTTTGATACCGTTTAATATGGCACCTGTTTTGTCATAGAGGTATATCATTTAAACTCCGTGGCGCTTTTTCCACAGTATTGGCTTGGGTACTCGACAACTGTTCGAAACGCCATGAACCCAAAAATTAAATAAAAAATTTAAATGAATCTGCAAAATATTTGAAAAGATCCATTAAATTTCATTTAACCAAAACAAACTAAAGTTAAAACGAACGAGCATCGTTAAAATACCTTGTCACTGTAGTCATTAGTCTTGTTGATCGCTGACGTCAACATCTTCGCAACGGTCATTGTTATACGGTCACCGTAATCGGTTGAAAATTTAAATACAGAATCCTTGATTAAAAGATTTAGATGACTCCGTGGCGCAGTGGCCAAAGTATTGGCTTCGGCGTCGGGGGTCGTGGGTTCGATTCCCACACGGGACAACTATTTGTGCGACCCACAGATAGTTGTTTCGCATCTGGGAGTTTGTCCTCGTGCAATTTATGTTTGTAAAACGTCCTTACAACACAGGATAATGTTATCCTAAAGTGAGGGCAATTTTTTTATCAAAAAAAAATAAAGAAAAAGAAAGAAAAGAAAAGACGAACCCAATGGAAGCACAATGTCGAAACATGAAATCACGTGCATTCATGCAAAACATCTAGCAGGCTCTCAAATGCGTCATCGTGTCTTTTGATCTGACCGATTAACCGTCACAAACGCAAACGTCCGACAACGGTTAAGTTAGTTTTTCTAGTGAATTATCCTGCATTTTACAAAGCTGTGGCCATATCAGCGCGATGTTTGGCGCCGCACATCGACGTGCGACGGTGGCGCCGTCGCGTCGCGGGGAAACCGACGGCAACGCATTGCAGATTTCACATTCGCCGCATCGCATGTGTGTAGCGTAAAGCCGAGACTAGGGTCTGAATAATGACGTCTAATTGAGCCCCGTCGCGGTAAAAACGAGCGCGCCGACATTTCTGAATTGCGCGCGCGCCTAATCGAACTTTCCCGCCTTTCCGAGCCCGCCCTTCGATCTGTCACCGCGAATGTCATAGAGCACACCCAGCGCATTGTCTATGCTCACGCGCCGGCGCTATACCCTTTGGCTCGACCGCAATCAGCCCACTTTCTTTCTCTACATTGTCCGCGGTCGTGAGTGTTGTTTACACGATGGAATTACAGATGCTTTAGGGAATTATATAGCATTGGTGAAGTGGTTGCTTGGCTTTAAAATTTTATTACTTTTTTTCAGTGGCAAGCGAGCTGGTGGTTCGCCTGATGTTTAGTGATAACCCTCGCCTTGACATTTGCAACACCCAAAGGGTTGCGGATGCTTTGCCACCGTTTCATAAAGTGGGCCTCGGCTACCTCACTCACCGGACGAAACACAGAAGTTTACACTTCTGTAGTGTAATTACATGTAGACCAATTGGTCTTCTGATCCGGATCCTCGAAAGCTTCTTTTAAACACTCACATTTCATGGAACGAAACAAAACATTCCAGACCGTAACTATTTCAGTATTCAATTGCTGTACGATCAATGATCGTAAATGGAAAACATAGAGTACAAAGATATGTTTAAATGTCTCCAGATTATTACTGTATACGGCACGATACTTTAGCGTAATAAGTGTTCTGTACAGTTTAATAAAACTGTTACAGCACTCCGTCCGGGTTATGATACGTGAGAATTTACAAATGCTGATGCTCGGCACATGTTATCTCGCGTTCGGAATAAAAAACGCATCTCACATTCTTTTTATTGCGATACAGTTCTTTTTTTTTACATTTGGGAAGTATTCACGGCATTTAATTATAATCATTTGATTAAAAACAACCGTTCAAACAGTCGTTAAGCAATCGGACCGACCGCAACGTTGCACGATTAATCAAGAGTTAATTTAACGCCGCCATCAAAACATTCGATGTAATGAATACTGATTATCGGATTCGTGAACGCTTTCCGATCCAGAGAATTGAATTTTATGGTAAATGTCGAGTTAAATTCAATTTCTTAAACAAACACAGTGATCGGTTTCTACTGAATAATGTTCTCATAAGCCTACTGTACAACAAACAACTAACAACAATAATACAAATGACCATCCTTGCATCAAATAAATAAATATTTCATGATATATATATATATATATATATATTTAAATAAATATTTACACAAGGTTATTTAGTCCCAAACTAAGCAAAGCTTGTACTATCGATACTAGGTAACTGATAACCATACTTAAACATACTTTTTTTTATTAAAATTTGTAAAAAAAAGTACGAATGGTTTTTCATCGCTGTGGGTCGAACCCACGTTCGGGATTCGCGCTCTGACTCTTTAACCACTATACGGCTAATTGCTTAATTACTTTTCAATTGATTACTTACGATAATTTTTTTTCGTAAATTAATACCTATAATATTGATAAATAAATACACATACACTAGAAAAACACTATGTTCATCACACAATATTACGTTTTCGAATGCATTTTTTTTGCAGGAATAAGCAGAATCGTACTGGAAATTAACATTTTCATTATTGGTTCACTTAACGGTTTATGTTTGTTATGTACACGTATAAAAGTTAAAAGAGAATTTTAAAGTTAAAAGAAATATTGGCAGAGTTTTTAACTCTTCAGAATGCATTTCCTTCAAAGCCTCCACACGGGTCAAAGCAGGAAACGTATTCTACTTATGCCAAAATTTGCATGCCCGAAACCTACTTTTGCACAACGTCATGCGTTGGGATGACGAAGCATTTAAAATCATAATTGATACAGTTATGGGTTTAAATGCTTCACTGTTGCCCAAACTTTTGTGAACTGAATATTTCTGGGAGGTGGGAAAAATATGTACTTCCCCAATACACGTCTCCAATAGAATACATCACATAAAAAGGCTGTTGACGAGGCCGTAGGAGTACCGTAGATAAGTTGGAAAAGAAAAAATCTTGATATTATATAGTACTTATTAGTATACAGCGTGTCTTTACCATCGCGACAATAAATGAACACACATATAGAGGATAACTTTTTAAAATTGTATTAAACATTTACATTCTTTAAACATCAATATTTACAGAGTTATTAAATTTTCCAAAACAAAGAATTTTAGAACATCCTTACGTATAAAACTGTAACGTAAAGTTCATTTTTAAAGGTCACAAAGCATATGAATGGGTTGAATGAATTTAAAAGAGACAAAACATACTGTTAGAAGGAGAGGCTTGTAATGCGACGCTGTGGCAACGAATGAAAACGTCTCTGAATGTATGAATCATTCAGTTGTAGTTATACAGGTTGTTATAAATTTTGTTTCTTTTTTACTTAATTAGTTTGTTTGAAAAATATTTTTTTTTAATTATGGATTTTTTTAACGTTAATATTTTTTTATGATTATTGGCAAGTAGCGTTAGACGTGTGTTCATTTATTGTCGCGATGGTAACGACACGCTGTATTTGGAGTCAATGTGCCATATGGCTTCTAGTCTTTAACGAATAAAAAAATGTGGCTTAATTGATTCTTTATAATGCACAAACTTTTAATTTAATAAATTAAGGACTTTTTACAGTCCTGATGTAATATAAAAAATCAATTTTCAACTTAATTTACGAGTATTAAATAAAGCCCAGTCGTGTTACTTCATACGGTTGCTTGTGCAACTATTAAGATGTAAAGTAAGAAATTTAGTACAAACACATTAGTCGCTTGAAACTTCGAGGCAAGAGATAAGGAACAAGAAACAATCGCCACTTAATTAGATTACCGCAAGGAGGTAACAATAGGTTTGTAGCTAAGAATTTGTCAGCGATCAATAACGCCGCATTCGTCATGCACGCTTTGTTGCCACTTAGGGTGTCCAGTTTGCAGTAGAATTAAGGATAAGCTTCGACTTTTCGTCGCACCGATTATCCTAGGTAGGGCCTAGGTTACTAGGTGGATACTGATCCTGCCTCTTGCGCCCTAGGTTGTGGCTTAGATCCTCAATACTGGAAAAATATTGTGTGATGAACATAGTGTTTTTACACTATCTGAGTGTTTACATATTTTATAATATGTTTAATACATTAAGAAAGGAAAAGTATGTTTAAGTAACATAATTTTATTTTGTAAAAAAATACATATAAATATGTAAACATCTACTAGATAAGTGATAAACATATAAGTTAGTTTATAAATTATCTAGTACACGTACTCGTGGTACAAGCGTTGCTTAGTTTGGGACTATAGAACGTTGTGTAAAAATTGGTACTAACATATTTGGTCCTGAAATTTTTTTAAACACAATCCTCTAATATAATATCAGTTATCCTACTTAAAACTAAATGCTTATATTAACAACAATGATCTATTAATTTTACTTTTACTTTACTATTAAGTCCCTTAGTAGTCTTAAGGACATATCAAAAATTTCACGCATACATTTGGAATATACGTCCCATGGAAAATCATGGACACTCCAACAACAGTCGGGTCGAAAAAGGTTATTGGTTCAAGGATAGTGTATTGTTGGAATTGTTAATCTATTACGTTGTATTGTAACGTCGTGTTGCGATACCTCCGGTGCGATTGCGTCCTATCGCTTGGTGACTAATCTCCTAAGAATTCGTGGGAAAATTCGCCTGACTTGATTGAGAAAAATAGAACCCCGCCGCCGTCGATACGTGCGCAGAAACAGAAGACGATGCAAGACAATCATGGCATGGCACACGCTTGATGCCAAACGCCAGACAATTGGTGAATTATAAATGTCTACCTCTACAGTAAACCCGGCCCATTCTGATCCTCACCGCAGATTCTACTGCTCAGCGTCTTGTGAAATTTCCGCAAAATATCCAGTGTACAAGTTCATGTGATTGATTTGCAAGTTAATTTGTTGATGTGTATTAAGGTGAATTATTAATAGCGCTTGGACCTATACTTCACTGCTTTTTCTTAAAATTGCCAACTATAATCGGTCAGTTAAGAATCTAAGATCGTTTCCTTCTTGTATTAACTGATGTTTTTGCTTTCAGTCCCGAGACTATTAAAGCTTCATCGGACGCAAGATCGTTTCCATGATACAACGCCATTGAACAAATGTATTTAACTTAACTGCAGTTACTGGGGGTCGAATTTCGGCTCTCTATAAGCGCCTTTATCGTACAATTGTTCATTATATTAATCATGTGTTGTCTGTCTATTTGCTTTTGTTTTACCAATTGCGTTTTATATTCATCGATTACTACGAATAATTTAAATGCGAACAAATTCAGACGGACCTACTTCCAAGTCGTTTTAACTAAACAAACCGTAACGAGTGCAACTAGTTGGGTTCACAGTCCGCTTCCTACGTCGATAAGCCTATATATAGTGCCCTATTTTCAAGTAAAATGGCATAGGAAATGAATACGCTCCAGCAATTGTAGTACCGAGTGCAACCCACACGCCAACGTAATGAATGGATGGGATATCCTCGTGGATTTGGGGCAGTGATACAACCGTCTAGAATGTTCTTGTATAATTAATCGGTGATTCTAGAAAATTTTTCATATCATCATTGGAAAAGAAGACTCGATTTGTAAGCATTTATCCCGAGGAATTGAAGTTTTCATATAGCAAGAAGTAGCTGGATAGATCATATATTTTTCAATAGAAATTCTTACTTTAGCGACGAATACGAGACAGCTCTTTTGAATTCTTCTTTACTTCTCTTTATAAGGGTAAATACTAAGATGAAAATCGAATGAATATGTACCATTAAGATATCCGCAGCACGATAGTAAATTGGAGGCGAGTCGAGACTTCATTCGTTTTTATTAATTTACTTGATTGAACTTCTTCAGGTAAAGAGCCTGAATTCATAAAGTTCTGTTCGGATTGAACCCTAAACTTGGTTGTGTAATCAGATATGGATAAAGGTATACAGTAATGAGATGTGCTATAGTAGTACTAAAAATAATTTTTACCAAAACAAAAAACGATTTCAAACATGACTCCGACTGTTATGCTTAGATAGTCCTTAGGCTTGAATGTAGCTAGTATTAGGCCATTGTAGTGAGGCAAGAAACAGTTAGTAAACTAGGAGATACTTAAAATGGTCCATTCAATATCTTAATGAGAATTACCAAGACGCATTTTATAATTGAGCCAATGAACTATGACCTTAATAATGACTCGCTTCCGCCGCGGGAGTATTTGACCTAGGATAGTAGTACTCCTCGTAAATTTTGCTCGTCTCTCGCCTATTTCGTGCTAGATTCGCAAACAGTTTTAAAGTCAGCATCGATGCAAATTTAACTTTTTTCTTTAATTATCTTTATTATAGTTTAATTTTTTTACGTGAGCAGGTGGCTCACCTGATTTTAAGTGACAACCACCGCCCAATGACATTTACAACACCCGTAGGGTTGCAGGTACGTTGCCATCTTAAAATAAAGTAGGCCCCATCTACCTCACTCGCCAAACGAAACGCAGAAGTAACACTTCCTCTTTACGCCGGTCTTTTGTGAAGTTGTGGTACCCAGCTCATTTGTGAACCAACGAACACAGTAAACAAGACTCATTTTTTTAGTAATTGCCTAAAAATTAAGTTAGTAAAGCAACATAAATTTTAAGTACACAACATAAGTAATCAACGCGCCAATCCATTAGATGCGGCGCAATGACAACTCACGTAAATGCAGTCAAATCAAGCTTGCCCTCAATAATAGTCTGGATTCTGACAATATGCTCCCCCAAAAATCTCTTTCAATGAAGCTACTGAGTTTATTATGAGTTTTACCACCTGAAATTTAGAATACTTTGCAGGATTCATGGTCACGAGACTGAACGAGTTATTCGTATTACTGACTTCACAGTTAACACGGGCTAGCTGAAAATTTCCAAACACTAGATGGGTGGGTGCTACCACCGACTTAAAGTGATATTATTTAAATGTATACCCGGTCACAACACTTCTAGATATAGTAAGCATTTCCTGAAGGTATGAAATTAATGAGTTTCAAGCTAACTGTTAAGTTATAAGCTTTACGACACTGTTACTCGAAAAAAAATTATTTACCTTCTAAGTAAGCAGTCAAGTATTTTTTTAACTGTATATAAATATTCAACGGTAAATTTTTCGTACAGAGTGGTATTACAAGATTTGGGAGTGCATAAATATTCATTAGCTTGAATAGTTAAGTATACATCACACTTCGGCTACGTAAGTATACAACGCCCTTCAAAAATTATTGATTGTTATATCTTCCAATGAGAAAAATTAAGCTTTTAATCTTTGAATCAGTAAGCTTTTCTTATTTTTTATATTCATGAAATGAGAAATTAACCTTTAATTTGGAGCAAAGAAAAAAAAGTCAGGAGTATCAATTCACTGTCCTGTTGATACGAGTATGCGTATTTATAATGTCAAACTATAAGCGATTTATCAAAATAGGTAAAATATAAAAAGTTGGTAAAATACTTATATCAAAACAATATGGCCCCATTTAATTACATTCTTTAAAAAAATATACTAACGCGACATTTTTTAAGTTCATTCAATTAAAAGTTTTTATGTATTATGGTTCTTCATTGGTGTCAATTATTTCGTACGCTTACCTCTATTTTAGTGTCGTAATCGAATTTGTGAGTGCGTGCACTAAAAGTAACAGCCATGTTACTAAGTAATAGATATTAAACGACAATTGGGAGTGTCTGTTATAGGGTGACAACTCTTAAGCGGTTATTCTTTATTTATTATATATATATATTATATCTTATTATATACATTTTTTACAATTCATTTGACATCGCGAGAAGGTAATTCCCCTAGTGGTAATAAATAATTACTACTGCCAGTGAGTATCGGCAGTCCTAGAAGGATAGTAGTCGCGTTGCCAATCTCTTATAGAGTGGTCTTTTGTGAAGCAGTACTTATCTGGACGTGCAAGTCATGGGGCTTTCCATGCTTGCAACAGCAGAAGCTGCTGCGATTTTACTAAAGAAAAATGACGTTTGATAAGAAAGTTGTGTGCATGTCTATATCCAAATTCAAAACTATACCGCGCTACCATTGAGAGATGTGTATCGTAGCCATGGCGACTACGCACGACGAAGCAGTTGTGACTTCAATCAAAGTAACTTTGTAGCCAGAACTCTAGTTTAAAATTAAAATTGTAATTTATATTTAAAGACTAGCTGCTGCCCGCGACTACGTCTGCGTGGAGGGGTGAAAATTTTGGGTTGTATGTATTTTTGTATGCTGTGTCATAAAAAAATAAAAACAAAGAATTTTGCCTAAAAATAAAAAAAAAATTTAGGGGTGCACTACCCCCTTAACATTTAGGGGGACGAAAAATAGATAGTAGCCGATTCTCAGACCTACTGAATACGCATATAAAATTTGGTAAAAATCGGTCGAGCCGTTTCGGAGGAGTTCAAGTTCGAACCCCGTGACACGAGAATTTTATATATTAGATAGATTAGATAACATTCTGGTACAGAGCTGAGAGAGGTCAGAGCTGGTATTTAAAGAAGAATGTGAACTCAACTTTTGATTTCTCAAATGGTATATGGAATAAGATTAAAGAGTATTTGAAATGAAGTTGGTTTAAATTATGTGTGTACTTTTGTACATAAGAAGTTAAACTTATTTAGCGTAACAAAAGAAAATAACTTAAAGATTTTATCCCCTGTCCCGGTATTATTTGTTTGTGAAAAAAGAAATTAAATGCATATTATAGGTAAATGTCTAAAAGTGATTGTAGGTTGCCATGGTAATCGCTTTGCTACCAACTTCATCATGCATGCGTCATCGACGCGCGCATCGTAAAAATTATATTTTCATAATTTTTTCCAAGCGCAACCAAAGAAGTAACTTAGAAAACTTATTGTCACCCCACACCGCGTTCTCTATATCTAGAGTGAGACTTATTCCTTTTATTGTCATGTAAATTTCTTCCCGTAACGCCTGAGCGATTTATGTCCCTTTTTGTTAGGACACCGTTCGAGAGACATTCAACTGTGACACGTTGTAGCTGTTGTCATCTTAAACCGATACGGGGAATTGGAACTTAATGGATTTCAAATCGTTCGTTTGTTGACGAGACTTTGGTTACAGTGAGTAAAATGTAAAGGTCCCGATAAACGAATAAATACGGGTCGTAAAGGAAATTTAAGTACGCCAGTAGAGTCGATTTAATCGATAATAAAATATAATAGAATAGTCTATGATATTTCGCCTTAGGGCATCATTTTATATGGCATATGATACTTACGGCTGTCGCCAATTGGAGTTAGCAGAATTTAAACTGTGGTAGGGCAACGCAACAGCTGCGGGCAGGTCCGTCCGGAAAAGTACCACGACTTCACAGAAGACCGGCATGCAAGTTTTATACTTCTGCGTTTCGTCCGGTAAGTGCAATAGTCAATGCGCACTTTATTAAAAGGTGACAATGCCTTTGCAGTTCTATGATTGTTGCAATTGTCTATGGGCGACGGTTGTCACTTAACATCAGGTGAACCGCCAGCTCGCTTGCCACCTTCTGACATAAAAGAAAATTACGGATTCCCGCTTTCCACAATCCCTCTTTCGCACCTCTAACATATAACAAAAAAAAAACGATTAGGGTCTCATTTCGGTTGTACTTAGTTAGTTTCTAAAGCATTCTGTGTTCACTTAATGAAAAACAGCGGCGACACGTCATCATAGAGAGTAGTAGAGTGGTCCATCCGTCTGTTTAAATTAAAGGAATTTTGCGTTGAAGGCTCAGCCAAAATGTATTTATTACACTAAAGAAGTTTAAAAGAATAAATTCAAGTCTTCTGATAAATACATTATTATATTTTTTCTTCAATTTATTGACGCTTATATTTCAATCACAAATTTTAAAAATAAAATAACAATGTGGGAATAAGTAAATCTATTTATTCTCAAATTGTTATTTTAACATTCGATGACTGTTACCAATAATGCGTGTAACATTCGCATGCGTCATCCCGCTGCTTTTTTAACCAAACGACCATGGGTGGGGTATTAAAATGTACATCGGTGATATATGGTTGCAAGTTCATATCCTAATGTCGGGTGCCAATATTTTTCATTATTCTGATGAGTTATAATAATAATAATAATATGCTTTATTGTACACCAAAAAAGAAAAAAAGTACAGAACTAAACAAAATATTTATCAAATATTGGTCATCAAAAGGCGACCTTATTGCTACACAGCAATTTCTTCCAGGCAACCTCAGAAATTAATCAAAAGAAATTCTTATTGGGTAGGATGTACATGAATTAAGTAAAAAGAAAGTTGCAACAAAAATTAAAGTAATAAGAAAAACATACCTCTTGTGTGTGATCATCAAAGTAAGAGTGAAATATTAAAATATATATTAAAATTCTATATATAATTAAATATATATATATTAAAATTCTTAGTTACTTCTCACATTTGGAATCCAATAAATACGAGCAGAACGAGATCCTTAGCCCTCTAAGTATATTTAGTATGATATTAACTTATAAACTTGTATATACATTACGTAATACATCGAGATTTACTGTCGATTTGAGTAGTATGATTGATTTATTTGTTACTATTTGTAAATAATGATAACCTTAGCGGACCTTTGAACTTAATTCCGATCTACGAGTAATAACCACGGGTTATCGATCAATTTGCGTAGCTTAAACGCTAGAATTTTATCTATTCACTTAGCGTACTACGTTCTTAGATACTTTGTGAGAATACGTCCTACAAATGCATCTCTTCGGGAGCTACAAAATCGGTCTTGGAACGGTCGTTAAAACCCATTTACATTGACCTACAAAACAATATTTAATATACCATTATTGTGTACGTGTCTTATATATTCTTGGTATTGTAAAACCCAGTGGCCGAAATATTCGGTTTTTAACGATTTTGTAATGCAATAATCAATCTGCATATGCTACCTAGGGTACTACTCTATCTGCCTAGGGTTGTAGAGAGCTCATATGCTCATACAGAGACTTACGATATCTTTGTACAGGGCTCGTGTGAGCGGTTTTGTGTTTATTATATTGGAGCAGGTATATAGCAGTGCTCCTTTGTCCATCCTTAGCTTCGAATCGATATCGAAGTAAAAAAATTAGCATAAACTCATTCAAAATAGGTTTCATAAAAAAATGCGGGATTTCCACGAACCCTTAGGGCGTAGCCTCGCAAACGTGCAAAGTCTGTTTAATAACTTAAAAGGCTTTCCGTTAGCGAATGAGCGTGCATAGATAAACATCGAGGCTTTACTTTTCGACCGCTTTTTTTAGTAGTGTCGGAAACAAATATGAACACCAATATTTTTTTTTCGATTATATGGCAAATGATTAATTATATAATAATTGATATTTTGATTTCTGCATGGAGGTACCCTCTCAAAAACAAGATAACGGCAGCATTCGTATAAAATTTAATAAAAAACTCTATTCTTGTTTCAGGTAGCACGTCAGACCTCACGCCAACGTTGATCGGCATTTACGATTCGCTGCTGGAGCCGGTCAAAAGCCTGAGGCCGGAGGCCAGCCGCTTGGAGACCGCCAAAGATGCCAGAAACGACCCGCCAGTCGCACGCCAGACGCGCATCATGACCGACAAAACTAAAGACGAGGTCAGCAGCCCGGACGTGTCGAGATCCCCACCGAAGGACCCCTCCAAATTGGCCGGCGGCGTGAAACTGCCCATTGCGACCCTCAACAAAAGTTCCCTGTACAGCATTAGAACTAACAGTGATAATAATGGTGCTAGTGATATCAAACATGACCTCACACCCAGTGATAGCGCGTCCCTTAAGGAGCATAAAATGCAAAGGACTTTCAAAGAAACAAAACATCTGGCAGAAACGACGACCTTTGATAACCTGTCGCCGAACGTGAAGCGGATGATATCGAGCGCGTCGGAGACGACGACGTTAAAGTTCCAGAAGAAGGGTGTTAGCTTGATCAGGTCTTCGACGAGGCACAGATGCAACATCCCCCTAGTGGGTGCCACATCAAAAATTTCCCAGTCGGGCCTCGAAATACTGCCGTCTGTCGAAATCTACGACCAGCCGTGTACTCTGAAAAGCCCACCGAAACCAATCACAGACGAGGAATGCGAGAGACCGACGAAAAATGTCCCCGTCAAACCGGATCTAGTTATAGAAACCGACCAGACATACGATGTCCCAACTAACAACAGACCAGCGATCTACGACGTTCCTAATTCAAACAAAACCGCCTTCGAATCGTTGTCGTTACCGTACATCGACCAGTCCATCGAGCTCTCTATATCGTCAAACGATAGAGAATTCGATACAAAACTGACATCGAAAGATAATTCTCCCCAAAAGCCGGAAGCGAAACTGGCAGTCGAGGAGTCTCCTTCGAAATTACCGAAAGCCCGGACGAACAGCTTGCACAGGAAGACACCACCAGTCACAAACGAAACAATCCCGAAGCGGTTGATGAAATCGGCGCCTTACCCGGAAACGATAGGCTCCACGGGCAATTTGAAGTCGTGCAATGTACCAGAGAAAGAGGTGACCAGACTCAACCCACCGGTCCTCGAAGTGACAAGACCTTTATCGATGAGTTCCATCGCCTCCTCGAGCTCAACGTCGAGCAGCGGCGTTCAAAACAAAGGGGGAGTGAACTCGGCGTATTTGGCTTCAATCGAGAGCCTTGACGACCACAGTGACGTCGACATGACGTCAGCAAATGGCAGCAATAACTTCGTCAATAGCGCGGGCATTTTAAAGGCCGGCGTGTCAGATGGGCGCTCGGAGAATATGCCGCGTGAGTTTTTACTTAATTTGTAAAATGCTAACGGGCCGTGACACGAGGGAGGGTAGGATCATTCCTCATCGTGGAAAAGTTTTTCGGAATGGACGCGTTCCCTTCCTTTGTTGTTGCCGGATGGGGGAAAAGCTTGTTTTTGAAGTTTGACCTTAATGGTTATTGGCGCTCGCGTGATTTCACATAAAATAAATTCGCCATCGTTATTAGAACCTTTTTGTATTTCCCGTATTTACGTTGATAGAAGTAATAGAGATATATATTTAATGACTATATAGTACTCAATCGCAACTAAAATCTGAGCTGGCTAATAATTTTTTCCATGGTTAAATTTCTATTTATGAATTTGTCCGCATTAATGGAGAATAGAATATTTAACATATTTTTTACAATAGTATTTAGATTATCGCATAAAAGTCAGTGACTGATGTTTACCTAAACGGATTTAACTTATTTAAGATACAGTACATGTCTCCTTTACGGCAAACTTGATAAATTCAGTGATTTAAAACCCATGAGTTTTTTACACATATATTTAAAAAACTGGTATTGTTTATTGATTGTTTTGAAATAAGGTGTTTCAAATCTATTTTATGACGAAGAAACCGGGTCGTGCAATATTAAAAATGTCCACTAAATATCAATTAGGTCGTCGTGATCATCTTCGTGATCTTATCTAGTGATATAATTATATATTATACCTAATTTCTAGATTTAAATACTTAAATTATCAAAGGATAAAATTTGTTTCTTTGTTTATATGTATAGTATTAGTAAACGTCATTATCCGTTAGCAAAATGTCAATGCCAGCTAGCCAGCCAATTATTAATTTAGATCAAAGTAACTTTTCGCCCAGAAATCTTAATTAAGACTTAGTTGGAAAAAGCCCGATATATTAGATAATTCTTAATGCACGCCAACTTGTTCGTTTTGCAAATTAGGAAGGTTTGATTACAGACCAGCAGTCCCTGGACGAGATGTCGGGGCTATCGCAATTGGAGCGGGTTTGCGCCGAGATCGTGCAGACCGAAAAGGTCTACGTGGAAGACCTAAGGCAGGTCGTAGAGGTAAGCCACTTTGAATTAGTCAAACGATTATTAGAAGTTATTGACTTTTTATGCGAATTTGGCAAGCGGCGGTTCGATCTTGAGGGATTACCAATATTCCCAGTTACCTCACTCAACAGACGAAACGCGAAAGCAAAGGCATGATACGATACAAGACTTCTCAATTAATAAGCCTGGGTTAGTGACTGTGGTAGCGCCACGCAACAATGTTGGCGGCTACTAGAATGGGTAGAACCGTCCGGTTGTACCACCTGAAGACCGGCGCGAAGGGGGAGTGTTATACTTCTGCGTATCGTCTGGTGAGTGATCCCTCAAGGGGCTCACTTAATTGAAAGGTTACAACGTATCTGCATCCCTACGGGTATTACAACTGTCAATGGGCGGCGGTAACTACTTAACATCAGGTGAACTGCCGGCTCGATTGCCACCTTTTCACATAAGAGAAAAAAAAATATCAAAAAAATGTCGGCCAGGTTGTTTCGATGCGTCTGAAAGTGACTTTGCGTGTATGTGTTTCAGATGTATTTTCTTTAAATTGTTGCATTAACTTTTAAAGCCGAAATCCTTTCGCCCATGTTTGTTTTGTCTAACTCAATTCCTACGCCTTTGTAATAGCACACTCGTCCTAATTCACAGCCGTCCACGGTTTGCCCGTTTGTGTTTATTTTTAAACGTTTCCTTAGCCGCTTTCAGTGTTGTTTTTGTTTCATCAGAAACTTTCCTTCCTAATGTCAACTTCTTTGTATGCCACTAAATATTTCTTTCTACAAAAACGTAAATATAAAAACATCAACTTGGTGTAGTGAAATTATGGCTAAGGCATATTATACCATTGCGGAATATCTTGATGACGCCAATGTGTGGGGTTAATACTTTTGATACTCACGGAGTCTAAAATAAGACATACTTGTTCTATTATATTGTAAAATAATCGTTATAAAAAAGAGCAACTAATGAGTTTCTGCCGGTTTCTTCTCAACAGAAACTGCTTTTCGAACCGGTGGTAACTTACGTACGTATTAATTTTTATGTAAAATTTTGACATTTCATAAGAACGCGCAAGCATCTTTGTGAATAAATAGATTTTTGATTTTGATTTTTGATTTGATTTTGACTAACTCTTTGAATTGATCATTCTGATCATTAAGAAGATAATTCTGGTCAATTCGGAGAGTTTAACCATCCTTTTGGCAACTCAAATGAAATTTGAAAAGCCATTTGACAGCGATTACTTAACATCTATGTAGACCAGTGTTTCAGAAACTGGGCGTAAGTGAAGTTGTTAATTACGTTGTGGTCTTCTATTTTAGAGGCAGGAATATAGAAGAAATGAGGTCATCCAGGTACATTTAATACACTTTCATTATATTATAAATTTAAAAAAATATGGCTTGTTTTATATGTCAGATTATTGATATTTGTTTTACTCTATCACTTTAATTAACTAGTGTCTAAGTCAGTGATTCTCAACCACTGTGCCGCGGCACTTTTGTGTGCCGCCAAATTTCAAAAGTGTGCCGCCAAATTTTGCAAATATATAATAATGTTAATATTATTAAATTATATCATTTAAAAAGAAAAATATTTTTTGGCATTAGCCAACATTAAAACTAAAAAAAGATCAAGATTGTTAAATGTAGAAGACGATATGAGAGTAGCATTGTCATTTTTACGACCAAATATAAATGAAATTATCAAAAAACACCAAGCTCAAATTTCGCATTAAAAATATTTTTATTATTAGCTTGTAATTAATCCCTTAATAAACGTTTAGTTATTATTGTAGTATATATTAGTTTATTTCGTATATTTAAAATTTTTGTCATAAACTATTTATGCAGTGTGTTGTAGTAAGTAAATAATTTTTATCTTTTTCTTTGTGTGCCGCCAAATTTTGAAATCGTTAAATATGTGCCGCAACAAAAAAAAGGTTGAGAATCACTGGTCTAAGTGATCAACTTGTAATAAGTAATAACTCACCCTTATCGCGCATATATAATAATACCCCAAAGGCAAGAGAAGGCACGATATGATAATGTTTTATTTTGAATTAAATATTTTAAACACAATAGAACATTAGAATTATAGAATTATCAACAAACTTTATAGAATTTAATTTTTATTTATATATTATTGTTAGTCGGTTTCCCTCATTCTGTAATATTTTTTTTAATTTTATACATTATTAAATTTTGGGGTGATATTTATTTGATTTCTTTGGGGTTCATTTGATTTCTTTCGTTGGGTTTATAAATAAAAATATTGCAATAATTATTAATAGATTGTATCATGCGAGTATATCATGGGATCGAAGAGAAAGATTTTTTCGCGATCGCATTAATTGTCACCTGATATTAGTTAGTATGTAAAGAATTTGAATTTAATTATACTGAACTAATTTTAACCAAGGTAACCGACATAGCTCAGAGGATTAGCAAGCTGAAGTGGCGATGGGCCGGCCATATAGCTCGTAGAACCGATAACCGTTGGGGAAGAAAGGTTCTCGAGTGGCAGCCTCGTACTGGCCATCGCAGTGTAGGACGACCCCCCACTAGATGGAGTGACGACCTGTGCAAATGTGCGGGAAGTCGATGGATGCAGGTGGCTCAGGATCGTACTTCGTGGCAGTCTGTGGGGGAGGCCTATGTTCAGCAGTGGACTCAAACAGGCTGAAGTGATGATGATGATGATGAACTAATTTTTTGTAGTGATATTTTTTACGTCTAAGTTACATTACGAGGGTTCAATTACGCGTCTGTCAATCTGTGTCCACTTGTCAAATGCTATAATTTTGACAAAATCTGTCGTCATTTTGACTACACATACTTATATAATAGCTTGGGGAAATGTCAGTTTCTGAGCCTGAACAAATATTTTAAGTCGAACTACTCATATCTAAAGAGGACCTCTGAATTGGACTCTGTATTTTACTCATTATATTTAGTAGCTATATTTTACTCAAGACTCATTAGAATATGTAGGAGTAAATAATTAATTAATATGCTAATAGTCTGTAGATTAGAGTTATACAGTAGGGCATCGCGTGCCTCCAACCAACTGACCTACTTACTGTTCGCTGCACTTTGCGGTTTTTACAGAGGCAACACTAGCGTCTTGTTATTTAGCGGGAAATGCGAGTTGTTCCATTTGACAGATGATTTATTATAGGTTAGATTTTAACCGCGTTTACTAATATTTTATCCGTGAACACGGCTGCGATGAACATAATTTATAACAGTCGTTACTTCCGTAGTCAAATTTAAAATTCTAAATTTGTTAGATATTAACTTTATGTACCTTATTTAAATTGTCTTATGTTATTCAATCAAATCGCAATAGAAAATTATTGGAACATTTAAAAAGTGATAAAGCTAACAAATAAATCAATGGTGCTAATTGGATAACACGAATGCGGCTTCCGAACTCCGCTCCGCCGGGATGACTTTGACAGCCGTCAATCGCGCAAGCTGTCAGTGTCACTGTCAACGTTAATTGACGCTGACATTCCATTGACACCTGCCTCGGATAGGTGTCCATTTTTAACACTGGCAGTTTTAATGATAACTTTCTTCTACACTGATGTCCGCTGCCGGCAATATTTAATGACTATTTGGAATAATCAATCGTATATTTTATTACATAATTGTATTATTAAAATTTACATATCTGAAACGGGCTTTTCTCTTTTAATTGTTAGAGAATTTGCTATGAAAGTGAATCCATAATGAGAGGTTTAATAATAAATAACATGTCCAGTTAACGATATAATTAGCTTTTTAATATTGCTTTTTAACTTTAATGATAATACAATACTTTTCATGTATGGGTGAACGCCACAACACATTTATGTCCGATGTCCTTTATGTCATTTACTTACTTTTGTAAAATTTGCAATTCATTTTTTCTTCATACATTTACTGTCGGGTGGAATTAATCACTAGTCCTAACTGATAGTAAATAATGCAGTTGTTGGTTTTGAACGCACTAAATCAGCAAAGGCCGATTTACTCATGCCGTGAAGACTGCTACTAATGAAATAAATAAATGTATTTTTTTTAACCCTAGTTATAGTTTAAGCTATTTTGTTTTATTTAGTTTTCTATTTAGTTTTTGTTTAGTTTTTTCCCATTTAAATTTAATCTCTGTTTATATTAGTTATTAAGATAAGTTGTATTACCTATTGTCCCTTTTCTGTTCGATTTAAATGCATGTTGTGTCTACATCTAGAAGAATGCACTTTTGTGTTTGGAATGATTGGAAGCTTATATAAACTTATGTAAAGGTTGTATTCAGTTTTGTAGACCTAATAAAGAAAAAAAAAAATATCTTAGCGTTATCACTAGTAATATCTCAGATTAGCATACAGGTCTTTATAAGACAGTTGGCCCGCTCCCAGGTGGCCGTAGATCTCTAGATTTTTAGCCGACTTCAAACAAGGAGGAGGTGTCGATTCGACTGTATTTTTTTTATGTTTGTTACCTCAGAACTATCGGCTGAGTGGACCGATTTTGATGATTCTTTTTTTATTTGAAAGCTGGTGCTTCCAATCCAATGTGGTCCCATATTAATTTAATTGGTATTGGATCTTGGGCTCCATAGATACTTAGGGAACTCCTAAAAATCAATTACAAAATTAATACATATCGAGATATTTGAAGCCGGTTTTGTTTTTCGTTGGTAAAAAACGGTTATTTACAATACACTGCCTATCTTTTGACTCCTATGCCACTTAGTGCAAGGTGGCGTTGCGACCGTAGATATTGAACGAACCAAACTTTTGCTGCTCTCATAATGAACGACAAAGCAAAGCATTTGGTATAGTGCGTAGAAAGTCGACAACGAAGGACGCGGAACGTGCCAGTCGAAGATCTAGAGACGTCGTTAACGGTGTTGAGTTCGATTGCAGCCACCCAATTACTTTGTATCGACGCCCAACTTATTTGCATCTCATGCAGTCCGCTTTCGCCGTCGTTGCGCAGGGCTGCCGCATCAGGAGTACT